TATGTAATATTTAAGTTTTAGATGATTAGCAATCTCCTGGTTCAAATGTGGTAATTGACAGATAAAAAATCTATTTGGCTGGAGATGGACTAGCTTCAGTTGTTTCAGATGAATTCAAGGTAGGATTTGTTGCGTTCATACAAAGTATGGCAGTTGGTTTTCCTTTGCTTGGAACGTCCAATAGTGGACAATCCTCTCCCAAAGTGGTCATATTGATTGCTCTTCCTATCAAAAGTTTATTGTGATGTTCTGTTGAAACTTAACTCTTTGTGATGACACAAAACAAAGTAATAATTACAAACTTTATATTTTATCTGGAACATGAAGTAAATAGGGTCTTCCATAGGAGTGGCATTACCTCACATCTGTTTAAACCAGATAAGAAAATAAATATATCAAATCTGTGAACTGATTTAATATCCGTATTTTATGTAGTCCAATTAAGTTTAAGTATTGGATGCATTTTTCATATCTTTTGGAAATTGGTAATGCAAATAGAGTGAGACTTTTATGACCTATTATATAAAATTGTAGGTGTGGAAATGGATGACATTTCTTATTTTAATTACTTTATTTATAATGTAGCCAGCCAAATAGAATGTTCCCTTCCTCTGACAAATAGATGCCAAGTAGTTATCTGTTCTGGAGGCAGTGAGCCAATAAAACCTCTGTGTGATAAATTACTATTCTTTTAAGAAATGTACTAGCTAAATCAGTAAGGAAATGAAGGACTCCATATCATCAGGAATAATAGCAACCAAGCAAAGTATGGACTATGTGGATAAGATGGAACCTAAAATATAGTTTCAAGACATGGATTTTCTTTTAGGTGTGAACATGTGAAGAATGCAGTTAGCTATGTTATTGCTCATGTTTGTTACACCAGACTAGATAAAGTTCAATGGCATTCGGGGGTGGGGGGTGGGGGTGTTAGACCTTACCCTCTTGTGCCCATGTAAGGATTCGAGACTAATTTCCTGCTTGACTCCTCTTCCAGATTTGGACAGTCTGTCAGACATCAACTTCTCCTCAAAACAGTCCCCATCTTCCATGATGAATTCCTGGACTGAATTCTCATAGGAACTTGAGAGGAATGAAAGCAAATCCAGTTTAAAGGAATTGTCTGCCTGTCAGGGTTCCAAGTAAAACCTCCAAAGAAAGAAGACTCCAAGTTTCCTCAAAGTTCCATTTTATTAGAGATGTCATATTGGCACATCTGGGAAAACCCGAATCTGACAGCTTCCAGGTTTTCCCCACCCAAGTGAAATTTCAAGTCCCTGCCCAGCACTCACATGTCTATCACATAGTCCAATCTCTCTCTCTCTCTCTCTCTCTCTCTCTCTCTCTCTCTCTCTCTCTCACTCACACACACACACACACACACACACACA